CTTCCTTCCTTCCTTCCTTCCTTCCTTCCTTCCTTCCTTCCTTCCTTTCTTCCTTTCTTTCTCTCTCTCTCTCTTTTTCTGCACCTTCTTGGATACTCAGGCTTGAAACCTTGTAGTCATTGACTCCTGTCAGTATCTCTTCCCCATCCACATCTTGGCTCAGTCTGGGCCCCTGTTGTGTCATTAGATGCTCCTCTCCTGGACTCTCCACATTCCAACCCGTCCCTGCTCAGTTCCCATCTTCATGCTTCAGCTGTAGAAGCAACCTGTGGTAATACTGTGCCATCCCATTTTCACCCGGCTCCATTTCCAAGTTACGCTTAGCTGCCTTGACTTAGAATCTCAGCTCATCAGACTGATCTGGTCCACCCTTCTCTTCTGATGATTGGGTGACCTTTTAGCAAGATGGACTGACCAGCTTCATCATTTAGCTCATACCAGCTGATTTGTAACTAAGAGCTTGAAGCATTGGTGGGAAGGTGTAGGACTCATCCGATATACAGGTGATTCTGCCCACCAAAACTGGGGCCAGCAAGGTTCACTCAGTATCTTCTCACTCTCCCGATCACCCAGCATAGTGCCAGAAGGTAAAAGTAGAAGACATTTCTAGGTTTTCAGTAGAAACATTCTCAGATACCCATGGGTGAATCTCTGGATACAGCCCCTTACCCTGGTCATTCACACTGGCCAGAAAGCCAAACTGGGTCTTTGCAGCCCGCAGCATGTACTACCTGTAATACTGGCCTCCAGTGCACTGTGGCCTTGTATTGTGGTCATGGCAGCCTGTGCTCTCGTGGAGTACCAAAGCATCTCTCCACTCTGAGTTTGTTGAGCCTCTGGGTGGCCAGGGTCTGCTGTGCTCAAATGGGCTCTAGCTGTTTTGATCTTCACAAGGGCAGCATGAGTGAGGGACTGATTCAAAATGATAGCTTCCAGAGTCCCATCATCAGCTCGCATTGTTCCTGTCTGTCCTGAGCCAGCTCTGGGTGGGAACAAGGATGTGTTCTCGAAGAGGCTGTCAGTGTCCCAGTGGCCTCATCACTGCTGTGGCCTGATTAATTCCAACTGAAAGCTGCCACATGCAGGAGGACAAAGCCCAGACAGACAGCCAACAAAAGACAATAAATGTCCCCTTTGGGCCTGTGAGTGTAAGGGGCACATTTTTAGGGGACTTTTCTACAACACTATTTCTTCATCATCTTTTAGAGAAAAAACAATATTTTTCTTTGCACTCCGTCATGAAGCATTTGCCTCCTCCTTATTGATGTGTGTATTGTGACTAATAAGTATTAATGATATTAATTCTGTTTGTGACAGCAGCTCAGAATAATTACTATTATTTGCAATAATATTTTCCAAATTTGGGTTAATTCATAAGTCTTTTATGGAAATGTCAGCATTAGGAGTCTGTAATTAAAGCAAAAGTAAAGCTTCCCACGGTTGGCTTCAGAGTTAACACCCCAGAATCTTAGCCTTCAAAGAGATTTAGTTCCCATAGCAAAAGACCAGAGGTCTTAGTGAAGGCATGATGTTGTCACATGGTTAAAAACTTTTTCATGTGTACTAATAATTGACTTAAGCATACTGTTTGGGGGCCTTCTAGATAAACACAAGAGAAAAGGGTGGTTGGTAAACACTGCTAGCCCCACAATCCCAGTTTCCAGAACCTGTATCCAGCCTCTCTCAAAAAAGCAAAATAAATAGGAGCAGACAACAGAACCACAGCTAGTATTCACAATCTTCTTCAGGATTCCACCATCTCCTCCTGGAGTCCATCATCTGCTTTGGGTGTCCACATTCCTTTTCTGTGGCTGCATTTAGCCTATGATAAAAACAATAGGACTATCTTCATCCCCTGAACAAAAGTTTAAAATAAAAATGTTTCCCGGGTAACCTCAAAGGTCTTTTCATCTTAAAAGAAGAGAGAGGAGAAGGAGGAAAAGGAAGAGGAGAAGGGGAAGGGGCAGAGGGAAAAGAGATAGATGGTGACAAGATTCACACATCTAGACAGGATTGGAATATCATGGAAAGAAATAGCACAAGGCGAAGCACCAGCAACCAAAGGGCCCTGGCATAATTCAGACCAGCTTCCCTTAGATGTAAATGAGGGTGGAAAAGGTCTCACCTGAGCCACAGCAAAAACACACTGCCAATGGTTTAGGGGTGAGGCTGTTCTGAGGAAGGTTAATTAATTTTTCAGGGGCACCAGAATATACTATTAACTGTCTCAGGAGAAGTAATTTCATGAGAGTAATTTCCAGAAGGAGTTTATTCATCTTTCACTGGTGAAAAATGTAGCTGTAGGAAACACCATAATTCGCTGCTTTTGAATAACGCTTCCCCACTCTTCTGGGAGTGTGATCATCTTTGACAGTGTTTCAAATGTCCCTCTACAACCACTATGAGAATTTTCATTTGTTACTATGAAATCGATGCGATTGCTTCCCTGAGCTGCCTTCGATGTGGCAAAATGTTTGCAGGAGTTAGACATCTCCATCTCTTTTCAGAAACTACCATTTTGAGAAGTTTTAGGGTAGTTACCTGAATATACCCTAAAATGAATACTATAAATTTAAGTTGCTTTCATAAAGTGATGCATAATATTTAGGATGTATGCTAATAGATTCACTTTTTCATGAATACATGTATAAGTCCATATATTCAAGCACTTAGTAAGATATTTATTGAGTCTCTGCCATAGAACATTGGCAAAGTTAAAAAATTAATCAGGCAAGACTTTGTACTTAAGGTAGTGAGTTATAAGTAACAGTTTGAGGTGGGAAAAAAAAAGCTGTAAGTTCTAGGAGGTTCAGACTTTACCTCATGGGAAGCCTGGCACCAGGACTAGGGCTTGTGGCCAAATTTAAGCTTCATGGAGGAGGTGGGGTTTGGCTGCCCCTCAAAGGCTCCTTTTAGAATGCAGAAAGGAATGAGAGCCCCAGGGAGAAGGGGAATCAACAAAGGCCCTGGGAAAGGTACAGTACCCTGAGGGAATGATTTGGCTGGGTGGAGGGACACAAGGAGAGGAGCTGGGATGTCAGATACAAAGAGAAATGGGTGTTGGATCATAGACCACATGGACACTAGGTTACAAGCTTGGGCTTTGTTCTCCAGAGTCTGCGGCCTTTGAAGGTTTTCTACATGGAGGACGACATGGTGAGATTTGAGCTTTAAGGTCGCAGTGCCTCTCACACTATAATGGAAACCCCTATCGCTTGGGACCTTATGAAAGTGCACATTCTGACACCAGCATATGAGGGGCGGAGCGGGAGACCCTGCAGCTCTAACAAGCTCCCAGGGGCAAGTCCTTAGATCAGAATAGCAAAGCTATAGAGAAGCCCTGGGCTTGATTGGAGCATGACCTTACGGGAACTAGACACACTGTTATCTTGGCTGAACAGATCACAACAGGTTTTTGTTTTGTTTTGTTTTGTTTTGTTTTTCAAATTCAAGCCTTGCTTTACCCATATATGTATTCATGTATTTCATTGTAAGAACAAGTGCTGGGGTCATTCTTCAGGATAAGACTTGTGGGGAAGAGTGACACAAGGTATCCATAACTGAATACAGACGTGAAAACAAGAGAAAAAAGAAACTGGTCAGAAGTCTGCCCCTGGGGTTCTTCTGTGGTTATCCAGAAGGGCTGAGGAAAATGAAATGGCTCCTTTTCAATGTGAAAAATCAAGTTTGTACCAGGAGAGAACTAGATGGAAGCAGTTTGGGGGCATGAGGCTAGACTTGCCTTGCTCCGGCGACGCCCGTTGTCTCCTCCCGTTGTGTTCACCCCCCACAGCCCCCACCATGAGTGCCCACTGCTTCCTCTGCATGAGCTGTCCCCCACACCTTGTACGCTTAGGCCTTGTGGAGCACCCGATTCCGTCTAGTTTCTTCTGGGGCTCTTCAGATCTGCTCTAACCAGGGTGCAGAGATTTTAAGAATATTGTCAGTAGACACATATTGTCTGTGCTTAGTTGTGACTTATGGCATGCCATGTGATTTGTCATACTTGGCTACCATGCATAAAAACCCAGTCAAAGCAGTTGGAATAATCAACACTCCAGATACCCACTATACTTTAGATGGTAGAGAGACTCAAAAGCCTCTCTAGCAACTGCTTTGAAATCTACAAATAGATTCTGTCAACCCTACAGCTATTGCAAAGTTTCTTAAAAAGTTTAAACATACTAGGTAACTGCCCCCGAATGAATATATATTTAAATATTCATATTCAAAACTCCTACCCCTTACTACTCATATTCACCAGTACTTTTTATGCATCGCAGTAAAATGGTTCATAGATGTCATAAATTTTCACATGTTGCAGAAATTCTAAGCTGCATTTTTTGTTTGTTTGTTTCGAGATAGGGTTTCTCTGGGTAGCCGTGGCTGTTCTGGACTCTTTTTGTAGACCAGGCTAGCCTCGAACTCACAGTGATCCACCTGCCTCCACCTCCCTGAGTGCTGGGACTACGGGCATATGCCATCTAAACTGCATTTTAAACTGAACCTTTCCAGATTATACCCACTTTTCATGTTATAGTACACCTAACATATTCAGTCACATAGGCTTGTATTTTAAAATATATAATATGTCTATGTTATATAAGGAATCCTCTCCAATTTGTATTTCATCCTTATACACAGTTCACACTGACCTGCCACCTATGTGGGGCCAAGGTCTGAGCTGCTGAAATCCAGGACTGGGTGCATTTGTTTCCTGTGTCACTTGTCTGTTTGTTGAGATGTGAGGCCCCATTCATCTGAACCTGGGGGAAACAGGCAGAGAGGCGGGTGCAGAGAGGTATGAGACAGCCAAGCCATGACTGATGCCATGGAAAGATGAGAGTAGGAGCTGCCAGAAGCATTTTCTGAGGCCCAGTCCTCATGGGTTGTTAGAAGAGAGGCCTCAGTCTGACTGCATTTTTCAGTGAGTATGGTTTGAAGACTGGGAGGGCCAGGGTTTCGGTATACTCTGTGTCTGGTGAGGGCTTTCTTCCACCTTAACTGTGTAGCTCATATGCTGGAGAAAGAGCAGGTTCTGGCCTCCTCTTCCTATGAGGGTCCCTGAACCTGTGGTGAGTACCCATGATGCATCTAAACCTCTTCCAAAGTCTCAACTACAAATGTCCCCCTTTGAATTGGGGATGGGGATGGAGGCTTGACCCCACAAATCTGGAGAGGACACAGTGTTCCATCTGCAGTGCTGAAGGACAAAGCTGGGAATTTACATTTCACAAGTGGTGAAAGAATACTCATGTGGCTCTGAGGTCTGAACTCCTGAAGTTTGTGATCAAAAGCAGTGTTGAGATGGCTAATGGAAGGAACACTGGGGTTCGGGGTGGGAGGCAGGAACACATTTCTGGAATGTACCAACAGATTCACCAGGCAGGTGGTGGGGTGGGGTGGGGGTGAATCCCACTGGCCACTGGAATCATGGGTCTCCATTTCCTATGGAAAGCCAGATGAGTAGGCATGAGAGGTCCTCGTGGGAAGAAGTTAGAGTGCCAATAACTGAATGGAATGAAGGAAAGAGAAACACCCAGGAAGGTGTGCTAAGAGAGCCAGGGGTAGGCCCTAGGTCAACAAAGAAAATGAGGAGGGCAAATGTGTATAGAAAGCTAAACAACGTTCTCCAATGGAACTGACCATTCTTATCTCTCGTAATGAAAGTACATGGCAGATGGGATTCATCTATGGGTCTTAGGTGAAAAGATTATTCTGGATTGTGTAGCTGGGTCCTAAATGGATCATCTTACAGGATGGAGGCTAGGGAGTGGTATGGCCCCCATAGGTAAGACACGGTGACATGGCTACAGAAATGGACACTGGAAGAATTCTGCCCCAAGCCAAGAAGCCATCAAAACCTGGGAAAAGCAAGGAATGGATTGTGCCCTGGAGTCACTCAGGGACTGGGCTCCTGTTCTGCCCAGAGGTACCTACTTAGGATTTCTGAGCTCCAGAGCTGGAATAAAATGTGGATGGGTGTGCTAAGTTGGTGGCCATGTTACCAACCACAAAACATTAATTTGTGTGCACCCAGAAGTAGACTGGAAACAAGAGAACTGTGCTGTGTTAGAAACCACAGCCAGAGCCAGCCAGGGAGGAGGCTGTGGCTGGTGGAAACACAAGCCACCGCGGAGACAGAAGGGGTCTGAGTGGAGACTGTAGGATCTAAAAATCACAGGAGAGGTGCTGGGGGCAGACCAAGGTACTAATCAAAACTGAGAAAGGGAAGCAGCGGAACAATTACAAAGAGAGGCTTAGGGCAAGGTCATCAGGTGCTTGGGCATACCCTTGAAGAGGCTAGTGTGCCCTCATCTTCCTCTTTGCTTTTCCTTTCCTTTTCTGTCCCAAGAGAGCTTATTCAGTTCATCTTGTGTTTCTGTCAAAACATACTGCCTGGAACAAAGCAACAGAGAGCTTATTATGAGCTTGCATTCCTAAAACTGTGAGCAAAACCTGAGTGCGAGAGATGTAGCTCAGTGGTAGAAAGATTGCTTAGTTTGTGCAAGGCCCCCAGTTCAGTGCCCACTAACACACACACACACACACACACACACACACACACACACACACCCTAACACATGTAATGCCTTTTTCTAAGTTGACTGTCTCCATGTCTGTTACAGTAATGGCAGGTCACTCCAGTTCTCCCCACATATGTTATATTTCTACTTTAAAAAAAAAGTTAAATTCTGTTTTTAAAATAGTCCTGTATGTTCAGACAGTGTCAGACACTGCTAACAAGTCAGTTGAGGCTCCTACCCTCATGGACCTAAGTTCAACAATCAGCTAAAGCATGCCATGTATGTAGAGAGGGTACCCAGTAAGTCCTACCTGGTCAGAAGTGCTTTAGAGCTGGAGGAATGGATCATGCAGAGATCTAAGGGGTATTAGACCTGGCTTTCTAGAGGAACTGAATGAAGAAAAGGTCCACGTATAAACAATAAAGGGATCATTAGCTGGGCTTCACTATAGGAACTGGTAGTCCAGCAGCAGACAGGAAAAGGATGGGGTTCAGAAAGAGGATGCCTCAGCAGTCCCAGCCTGTTGCTAAAATGCCTAGAGGTTTCTCCTGAGTTGCTGGTATTGATTCTATGCTTGAAAGCCAAAGAAGCTGGTGTATGATCTCAGCTGATGATCAGCCTTCCTGCCATGCTGCCTTCTTCTACCTTTTTTTGTTTGTTTGTTTGTTTGTTTGTTTGTTTTTCAGTTTGACTATGAACCCATCACAGGTATGTGCATTGGCTGGAAGGACACTCGTGCTTGTCCTTGTATCCACGCACATATGTATGTATCTCTGCATCTGTGTATACAGGTGCATATGTAGCCTTGGAAACTGAGGCAGCAGGTTATTAGGAGTGGACCTTGCAAAGAAAGTGAATGGTGACAGAACTAATCTGGAATCAGCAAGGTTCCCTCAAAAGGTGTGGTGTGGGAAAATGACAGGAAAACGTTCCTCCTCCTGCCAGTCTTCCACAGTCTAGCCCCATTAGCCAGCTGTCAGCCCAAGAACATTCCTGTATGTGTCCTGTGCCAGTCCTGACTGTACAGCTGTTCTATTGTGGTTCCAGTCAGGAGTACCAGGAAATGCTCATGGTTCATACCTGGGGCCTTCTTGTTTGCTCATGCTAAACTCACCCAGCTATGTGCCTTTCATCTCCTCATCACTGCTGCTCCTGAGGTCTCAGAACACCTTATGGGAAACTCACAGCCTCGTATTGAATTCACATAGCCTGGTACTAAGAGCTGTTTACTCTTCCCTGGTTACCCAATGCCACTGTTACTTATTAGGTCAGGGAGGGACATCAGAGTCCTCCTTTTCACTTATCTGAGAAACTGAAGCCAGATAAGTTGTGATCATAGAGCAAGTAAGTAGGGAAATGGTCACAAGGGACCAGCACCAGGGGCCATCCCTTGTCTTCTGCCTCCTGATTGTTTCACCTCTAGAATTTCTGACTAGTAAGGGTGAAGAGTCTGGTGCTGTGGTGGGATCTTGAAGCTGTTTGCACACAGCTTATATCTGAAGCTGGGCAAACATCAAGTATTCCCCTCAGACAGTGAGGAGCTGGTGGAGAATGAGGGTAGGGATGACATTAACTCTCCCCAAGCTATCCTCCTGCTTTGAAGGCAGCCAGAATCTCTGTTCATCACTACAGGGCCTAGGTACTCCTTCACCTTCCAAAGGGCATCCTTTGTCTACAAACTTAGTCTTCCATGGACATAGGAGGCCTCTTAGCCATAAGGCAGAGGGTGCCAGAAACCCATAACTTAGCCCTCATTGGAGAAGAAACTTGCTTGGCTTTTCATCACAGGTCCTTGGATCTCCATGGGCTCCAGTGCCCTGCCCAGGAGAGGGAAGAGTAATAAGCCATTGGCTTTTAAAGGCCTTGGGCAGGTGGCTGAGTGGGAGTTATCAGGGCAGGAAGGGGAGGCCAACTTGCTGCCAGAGGTTTGATGCTGCCTGTCCCTTGCCTGTTTTCAGGGGAGACTCAGAAGCAGGAGCGAGGTGAAAGCTGTGCCTCTGCTGAAACGTTGGCAGTGCCTGAGGACGCTGGGAAGCCTGCTGCCAGCTCCCCGGCCCAGCTGAGCAACATGAACCAGAGCTCGCACTTCCATCGTTCTCCACTACCCCAGCTACCTTCAGAAGACGTCAACACGGTGGGAAGGGAGATCACTCAACTGACTGATGGGCAGGAGGCTGCAGACCTGGAGGAGGTCACAAGGGAGGCTCCCACGGAGGAACAGAGGTGTGAGCCGGGCCTGTCCCCATCTAGCCCTGCCTCCCAGGAAGAGTGTTCCACAACCCCCCAGGACCGCTCACCTTCTTTACAGCCAGAGGCCAATGTGTCCAGTGTGGAAGATGACAGAGGGATCTCGGAGAGTGCAGACAGGAGAAGAGGCATTGTGCAAACATGAGAGGGGGGAGAGACTGACAGGGTGACACCTTGAAGACACCAGGGACAGCGAGGAAAGGCTGAAGCCTCGGAACAGTCATCCAAGCCCCTTTCTGCTCAAACACCTCCCTGTCTGCAAACGAGAAACTGCTCTGATCCTGCTATGAGCTGGGAGCACCCAATGGTGCCAGCTCTGTCTGATTTATTAAAGCTGGTCTGTGAGCTCCTTGGTGTCACCTCTGTCTGCCAAAGACGTGCTGCTGTGAACATGTCCGGGCACAAGAATCGTGGTTGCCATATGGCTGCCTTTCCACATCCCTCTTCCTGTCAGCATTTGTTTTATTAGAGAGAAGATGTTTTTCTATTAGCATTTAATGTTGTCCATCAAAATGATGGGACAAGCTGGGAAAGGAAGGGCCCCCCACCCCCCAGGTCTCAGTCTTGGGAATAGCTAGGTGGATGGAAGGAAAGATGTAATTGAATGAAATGTGTTTATGGGCCCATGGCTGCATTTTTGTCATGTAGAGGATCTCTGAGGATCCCCTAGCAATGGGTGATCTTGGCACCCAGTGTTTCACAGTGGCAAGTGGGAGGGACCAGAGCAGGCTGGGAAAGTTGAGCTGCAGGTTGGAGAAGCTGTTTGCTGACTGAGTGCAGATCTGAGCTTTCTAGTCTAGGTCTGGAGGTTTCACTGGTGTGGAGGAATGGGTAACAAGGCGTTGTTGGAAGTAGGGGCCTTTTCAGTGGAAATCTGATTTTCTGTCGTTGTCATTGTTAGTTAGATGATACTAGAAACACTAGCTGTCTTTATCCAGCCTAAGCTGCATATAGGATGATGTGGGTATTGCGGGTTCGGGGACAGCTCCATGCTTAGTGCCATCCCAGTTTCCCTTGAAACCTAAACCATTCACTCCATCAGCAGAATATTGCATCTGGCTGTCCAGGTACTGGACTTTCAAATACAGGACTTGGAACCTGAGGCCTAATTGGGAAGGGGGAAAAGTGAGTTTATGATAGCCTTGACCACTGAGGAACCAAGTGTCAGATCCAAGAGGAGGGGAGGGAGTGGTCAACTCTGCCTGCTACTTCCTCACAGAGTGAAGATGAGCTACAGAAATTTACAGGGCCGTTGAGCCACAGGCTTTCCTCTGAAGTGGGCTCAGTTCACCTCCCCAGGTATGTGGTAGTGGCTAAGATTCCCTTAGCTCACACCACCTCCAAGAGCTAGAACTGATCTCTGGAACTCCAGCCAGAAAGAGAAGCTCAGAGATGGCATATGATCCCATTCATCCTAAAACCTGTCTCTGCCCTGGGATCGTGGGGACAAGGATACACCTTCAAAGAGGGACCCAAAGCCCTGCTTATCGCTCTGTATTCCAGTCTGTTTCCTGCTTCTGAAGGCCAGGCCTATAGGGGAGGAGGCCCTGAGGCTGCAAGTTCATACAGGCCACCAGCCCTGAAGGTGCCTTTTTTGCTCGATGGGGCTATGGCTGCATGTGTTTGGTTGCATGTGGTCAGTATTGCTGTATAGGGCACCAGAACAGCCAAGGGAAACCCAGCCAGATATGACTCAGTAAAAAGAAAATGAACACTCTCACCTCCCAGAAGCTCTGGTTTGGACACACATGCAACAGGTATCATCTTTGGGGACATTCATCACTTTCTGGTGAGTTGGGTTTATAGTAAACTCTAGCACAGTCTAGTAGGACAAGGCAAGAAACTGCAGTGAAGCTCATGGTCTGTGCTTTAGGGAGCCAGGAAAATAGGAGTCTATAGCTTGAGCTTGATGTGTACAGCCAGCTCAGGAGGAAACTGTTATTAGATGGAATAAGAGCCGCTAAGCTGATGTTGTACGTATGTAACCATGACAACAAACATCCCCACCTCTGCTGTGACCACCCAACACGCTTCTTCTACTCCATAGACATTAAAGAGAGTTCCAGACACTACTTACAGTTTCCTTTGGTTTTTTTTAAAGAGTTAGCTGTGGTATTCTCTCCCTAATTCAATCATATAACCTTCATGCATCGTGGTATTCCCAGCAACAGCTCATGCTCAGAGACACTTAAACAACAGGGTAATGAATTCTGCTGTGTGGCCAGAGCATCTTGGAACTAATCCCTTCAAAAATTTTCCGGGGATCTGGGTATCCATCTCCCATCTAGTTTGCTTTGGGTCATTTTCGTTTGTGGCTACAACAGGTCCAGATCCATGATCACACGTTTGAAGGTGCAAGGTTTTTGTTTTTTGTTTTTCTCCACACACATGTGTAAAGATCTTTTAAGAGGCAAACGGGAAGGAAAAAAGGTTTTATGCCATACTTTGTCAGTCACACTATATCACACACCTAAACACCTAACTAGGAAGTGATATCTTTGTGATGGGTGTGGGTTCATTGAGATTTACCCTCTGGGTTGGCCCTAGACTTCAGACACTAAAGGAGACACTGACAAGACAATCATGTCTTAGGCAGCAGAGTAAGCAATTAGGTAGACTTGACCCCTACATATCTCTTTTGTTCTAGCTTAATGATGCAGAATATTATGTTGCCAATGGGTCTGAGGCTGCAGGGCACTGCTGTTAGTTAGGAAAAGACCATGTGCTCTCCCTGGGTGTGGTCCACCCTGGTTCCTAGCTTTGTTTCCTCCTACCCTGCTTCCTCCATGGTATGCCTGTTCTGTTGGGTTTTCACCTTAATTAGTTAGTTGTTTAGTCAGTTGGTTAGTTTGTTTATTGGTTGATTGGTTAGTTAGTAGTTAGTTAGTTGGCCAGCAGAATGCAATGAACAGTCTAGAGACTTGATAGTCCTGAAAGAAAGTTTGTTTGCAATCTGCATTTTCTGTGCTTGTGAACCCTTTGGTATGAACAGTCTGTAGGGTTTTTGTCTGTGGAAATTGATTGGTGCTTGAGAAACTGGCCTTTCTCACCCTTACTCCCACCCTTCCTAAGCTCCTCCTGCCCCTTTGGCTGATCCCTCCACCTCACCCTCTTCACCATTCCTCTGAGCCCCACTAGCCGGAAGGTCCCTGCTAAAGCCTCCTCCCCACAGCTGACATAAGTCAACCGAATTAGTTTAGGTTCTTGCATGGTGTTCTATACACTCCCATCATCCATCTCAATGCTGGGTCCTAGAAAGGGCCCTGTTGGTGACATTCCACATAGCAGGTTCTTCCTACATCCCTGCCCTGAAAGTACCTGCCCCTATTTCACTATCTGGCGTGAAAGGGTCATTTCACTTGCTCATTAATATGATTCTTTCCCATCTGTCACTCTACAGTGACAACTTGTTTTTGTCCTTCTTGCTTTTCTTCAACTCCATTCGGACACTCTTCCCCCTACCCCCACCTTAAATCAGGTGTTTTCCTGGCATCGTTGTGAAGCCCTGTGAATGCCTGGGTATGGCCCTCCTCTTTGGAGATCTCTGCTGGAGTGTTCTGGAAGGTATGTTTGGGAGCATCCTTCCTGATTCTGAGCACTCCCTCAGGAGGCAGCAGGTAGGCTGTCCAAAAGTCAATGGGTGGCCACAAAAATCACACTTTAATGCAGTCCTTTCCCCTGGGCGACTGAACAGAGAGCAATGTAAGATCAGAGAGAGGCAACAGGAGTGCGGGAGAGGCTCTAATTAGAGGGAAAAAGCAAGAAAAGTAAGAAGGCTTAGTCTCTCCAGAGTATGGCTGCACAAAAACGAAACACCTTGACACAGCATGGGGGCAATTTACACCTCTCACTAAATGACAATGTTTTCTTTTGGCTGTGGTGGGCAAGTCCACACAACACTGAAAAGTTTCACTTTGGCGAATCCATGTGAGCTTGGGAATGTGTGGGGAAGGAATGTCAGCTGAGATCCTGCAGGATTCAGGGTTTAAAGGGCTTGCCTGTTAAGCAGGAGTTGAGTTTGAGCCCAAGAATAGAAGGCGGGGGAGGGGGAGAGGCAAGACGGCACAAAAATGCAGGTGTGGTGGGCTCACAGTTGTACTCCCAGTGTGTGGAGAGAGAATGGACAGGGGAGGGTCCCTGGAACTCACTGGGCAACCAGGTTAGTTATTTGGTGAATTCCAGGCTAATGAGAGACCCTGTCTCAAAACAACAAAAGTAATGGACCCTTCCTGACTAGTAACAGCTCTGATTGTCCTCTGACATCCACACACACCGACACTATACACAAACAACATTAAATTACCTTAAATACATTGTACTGTTCCTAAAGACAACAACGACAAAACACTTGCTATTTTGTAGTTTTGTTTAATCGAAAGAAAGGACTTCTCTTTTGGGTACAGGGTTCTGGTTCCTTCATGGTGTATTATGTGTAACTAGATCTTGTGACACTGTTACCTGAAATAAAGAAGCCTGGAGGCTGGGGAGATGGCTCAGTGGATAAAGAGCTGGCTGGGCAGGCTGAGGGGTTTCAATCCCAGTATCCATGTAAAATCTGGGCGGGAGGGGCAGCCCTCCTATAATACAAGCCTTTGGGAGGTAGAGATCTAGACCAGCCAGGTTAGTAACAAACCCTGCCTCAACATGTAAAATGCAGGGGGATCAAAGAAGTCACCTGCCATTAGACTTGTGCCTCGCACTTGAGCACGCGCACTCGCACATACATGCACATTCATGCACACACTCATTTGAAAACAAACACGGGATTACACAAGTGCACACACACAGCGCATACACTGCATGTGAAAAAGAAGAAGGAGATGGAGAAAGGGAAGAAGGAAAGGAGGGCAGGCTCTACGGCTCAGGGGAGAAAGGTGCTTGCTGCACACACCGGGCAGCTGGAGTTCAATGCCTAGCGCCCGTGTGATGTGTGGCCTCCACGCATGCATCATGGCAGCTGCATGCTCCCATCCTCCCATCATTCACACACGCAAGATGAATTGTTTTTAAGTGATAGCTTTCCTGACTGGGGAATCAATAGTCTACATTATGTCTGTCACCTTTCCCCCAGCCTTCACCAAGGCCAAGGCCAAGCTGGACATTACTTCCAGCATGTTGTGGCGACTTAGCCCTCGAAATCTGTCACCTGAAATTCTCTGATCAGATGGCAGTAGTGGAAGCTGCAGAGAATGTAAAGATTTTTATGCATTTTGTCTAAACAGCAGATCTAAACTCAGTTGGTTTATTTCTCGCAGGCTTTTAAGTTGGCCCAAGCACTCACTGATTTGCTCTATTTTCTTAAGTTTTTTAGTATTTTTGTGTATGTGCACTAATAAGCCCCACTCAGAGGAAAAAATTAAAAGCATCCCTGCCATTCTGAGAAACAGCTTATCCTAACATCTAAAGATAGCATCCCTAATTATTGTCTACATTGTGTATAGGCTACGCGGGCTCGAGCATTATTCCTGCTTTACCAGCTGTGGGTAGGTGCAGCCATTACATCAAATGCTTCTAATTTTACAGAAAGAAATCAAAACAAGTGTGGGTTTAAGACCCAGCAATGAACGCAAACCCTGTGAGTCAAACCAGCAAACTGATTAGCAAGCAGGCCAGGAAGTCAAAACAGCTAAGAGATCCATAAGCCAGATCTGTACGATGAAAGAAGTAAAAATAGAAGCCAGGGATCAAGTGGAGTCCAGGGGGCGGTGTTTGTGGCACACAAGATTTTGTGCCAAGAGCCAGATGTCTGCCTCATAGCTCCCAAACTTCTCTTCTCCTTCGGCACCCCCTCAACTCTCCAAAGCTGAAAAGGCAGAGCTGTGTCCTACAGCCTCTGGTTGGTTTGCTGTAGAAATGCTTCTTGGAAACCTCAGGTGGCAAGCCAACCAGGTGAGGGTAGCACACGCCTTGAATCCCAGCACTCAAGAGGCAGAGGCAGGCAAATCTCTGAGTTCTGAGCCTCGTCTACAGAGCCAGGCCTACACAGAGAAACCCTGTCTCTCTGTGGCATTCTTTCCTTTGCTGAAACCCTTCTAGTTACATGACACTACTTCACAAGGTATCTGGATTCCATTGTTAGGGATAGCTTTTTGTCTGACTTTAGTTTCGGCTGTTCATAGACTAATTGGATGTATATTAAAAATCCATGTTCTGCTAAGCACCTCTCATGAGCAACACCCCATTTAGGCCTCAACACAACCCTGTGAGATGATGATATTTTATATCAGTTTTGTGATTCCCTCAGGTCAAACAGCTTGTTAGCATGTGGCAGAGCTGGTGTTCAATCAGGTCTTCTTATGTGAGCCCAAGCTGTCAACTAGCACGCTATAGCCGTTCCTTTGCTCTTAAAGTAACCAGCAATTTGCCGTCTTGTTATTTTCCCGGTGTTTCATAGCTCAGGACAGTTGCTAACTCCATGAATGGGCAGAATAAATATGGGCTGGGTCGGCTAGGGTGTTCAGTGGCCCAAGAAGAATAGAAGGCAAGCCATGAGCAACACCTGCTCGGCTTCCCCATGTGAGTTGGCCATCATATGGCATCAAGGGAGAGGCTTCAGCTGGAGATGGACTTTATTCCTCTTTTGATGCTGGCACCAGCATCTCATTCCCACAACTTCTAACTGAGGAGACAGGGTAAACTCAGCATGGGAGAAGGGATTCTGGGATGGTTCAGTTTGTACCACCGCTCAGGCGGGGGAGGTGAAGGTAGCCTGAAAGGACTGTGTTGGGAAGTCTGTGCTGGGAGGCAGGTGCTGTCTCAGATACTCAGAGTGGGTTTGTAAAGGTATAAGACGTATACCTTTACATCAAGCTGTTCTCTGATATCTGGGGAGCTGCCTTCCTGGGTACCTCAAAACTTACCCGGCTCTCACCAGGCTAGGGACTCCCAGCCTGGAACTCACTTCACAACTCACTTCACAGCAGATACTTTTTTTTCTCTCCTCCCTCCCTATTCTTTGGCTCTGGGCCCTGTTTGTGTCTTTTTGTAGAGAGGTCACACACACCGTCACATTTAAATGTCCTTGAATGGCTGTTAAGCTTCAGTCCTCCTAAAGGCATAGCAATTGAAGGACTGTGGAGGGCAGGGAAGGCCTGCTAAGGGATATCGGGGTCGGGGGTGGGCGGCAGGGAAACTGAGCGGAGAAGTCTCAAAAAAGCACACAGGAGCAATGCAGGACTGAATTGCTGTGTTTTTAATGTACGGCACAAAGGTTGCCAAGTACCCTCTCATGGGAGCCGCTCTGCACAGGGTGCAGGCACCATGTGGGAAACAGCTGAAAAGCGAGCGCGGGCACAGCAGGAGGTGATGCGGGACATGGAATCCTAGGGGTGTGTGTGTGTGTGTGTGTGTGTGTGTGTGTGTGTGTGTGTGTGTGTGTGTGTTGGGATGGTCTCTGGGCATCTAGGAGGAACAAAAGGGAAAAAAAGTCCCTCGTGTCGGATGCTGGGGGATAGGAAGGAAAAGATGGACAGGAGGAAATGGATTTCCGCACAACTGAGGAGGATGTACTCAGGTGCTGCCATCGAGGTCCTCAGCGTGGAAGGAGAGCGTCTGAGCACATGCAACCTGGGGAGAGGGGTTCTCTGGCAGCAAACAGACTCAAAGACTCTTTCAAAGGCTTGGGACACAGGGGGACTCTTGAGGTGGGTCTGGGGCACGAAGGAGTCCTGGGTCTGTGAAAGTGCTAGGGCATGAAAAGATTCCTGGGTTACTCAAGGTGTCCTGGGACACACAGCAACGGTGTCGAGGGCACATGGGAACATCTGGGGCGCCCAGAGGTGGCTGGGGAGTTCCGTGAAGCCATCAGGGAGCACACAGAGGTGCCTGGAGTGCCTGGAAGCATGTGGGGCGCGCAGAGGCGACTGTGGTGTCTGGAAGGCATCTGTCTAGGAGTGTGGAGGCCTCTGGAGAGAGGGTGGTGTCCGGGACCTGTGGAGGCATCTATGCGTGAAGCAGCTGGGCTCTGCGGCTGGGAGTGCCGCTTAGGTGGTCTTGCACTCGCTCTCCCGCCGCCGCTTTTTGCGCTCGGCGTGCTCCTTGGCCTGGCGCTCCCAGGCCGCAGAGCTGCTGGCACCCACTATGCAGCAGGCGAGCCGGCGCCCCGCGTTGCCGTTCTCCACGCTGGCCTGGTTGCCGCCGCGGCCCAGGTCATCCTCGCCAGCGTGGACCACTACGGCGCGGCCCAAGATGGAGTGCGGGCCCGCCAGCGACGCAGTCAAGCCGGAGCGGTACTTCCAGAGGCGCCCATCGCGCACCAGGAAGTTGCCGAAGTCCCCCGGGTGCTGCGGGTGCGCCACGGCCAGCGGGTTGTAGTGCGGCCCGGTGGACTCGCAGCCCTGGCTCAGGTCCCCGAACTCGTGCACGTGGATGGCGCGGCTGGAGACGTTCAGCTCGTCATCGAAGCCCTCCAGATCGAAGAAGGCCTCGAGCTTGGCGCCCGGCGCTAGCTGCCGGAAGAGAACCAGACCGGTGACCCGAGGCTGATCGGCTGCCAGCGTGGCTGACGGCTCCACCCTGCAGGCCGCGTGCAACTCGGTGGCATCCACCTCCCGCCGCCGTCCCAGCCCCAGCCAGATCTCCAGGACTTTGGCGTGAGTGTCGCTTATCTTCTCAAACAGGTCAGGCTTGATCTCTGCTAGGTCGAAGCTGGACTCCCCGGGATCCAGCATGGTCCAGGTGACAGAGCCGTGGGCCGCCAGAAGCAAGCCACAGAACAGGAAGGCCAGCATGGCTGAGGTCCTGCACCTGCGGAATGTCCCCATACCAGTGGGAGAAAGCAAGTTTCAGCTATTTGAAAATTCCAACATCAGGGGCCTCACTTCTCACATCCCAAACCCACAATACCCAAGGGATGTCCCGGGCTATCTCCCTTTGCTTGCTTGCTTGTTTGTTTGTTTGTTTGTTTGTTTGGGGGATGTGTCTCCAGGGTCTGCTGGGTACCACGCACAGGGTTGGGAGGTTGTGTTTATGGAAGTACCAAAACTATATTCAGTAACTCACAGAGATCTGAGTCACACAAGGTGACAGTACTCTCAAGTTCTGTCTCCATAGCAAAGGAGCTGGAAGGATTCTTAGGGGCTGTGTGTGTGTGTGTGTGTGTGTGTGTGTGTGTGTGTGTGTGTTTACGAGATGTGGAGAACCTCACAATAATGAGTTGAGGGATGGACTCTGGAGACAGAGACTGGGGAAAGGCAGTGGGCACAGTCCAGGGACAGAGACAGAGAAACAGTCAGCCTTAGAACTAGATAGGGAGCTATTGCAGGGAGCCAAGGAGGAAAGCATGAAAGCTATTACTAAGAGGAGTTGGCAAACAGAGAAGGGTGTGGGTGTGGGAGCAATGGCAGTAGGGAGGAAGAGAGTAGTTACCAAAGGCTGAGGTACCCCAAAGAGGAGAACAAGTGGGTGCGTGTGGGTACCAGACCCAAGAGGAAGTGGGCTAGAATGTGGGCAGCGGTAGGAACATCTGGACAGGCATTTGGAAGCTCAGGTCCGGCATTGGAAGAGAACAGGAGACTGGCTCAGTGTTGAGTACACATCAGACTCTCTTCTGTGGGGGGGGGGGTGTGTGTAAGGGTGAGGTTGACATCAGACGTCTTCCTCAATTGCCCTCTACCTTATATACTGAGACAGTCTCTTATGGAACCTGCAGCTTGCTGTCGTCCCTCTGGGCAGCCCGTCTCCTCCTCCAGGTCCCTGAGATTCCAGGTGGACCGCCATGCCCATCCAGCTTTTTACACGTCTTCTGGGGATCTAAACTCCCCGTCTTTGCTTTACCCACCAGCCCATCTTCCCAGCCTGGATCCAAGACTCTAAAACCAAGATCCACAAGAGGCCACCACCCGAGAGGCTGCGATTCAGAAGAGCTTAGCTGTTTAAATATCCTGGAATATTTAATCAAAGACAATGGAAAGGTCCAGAATTCAACCTCAGTCACAACACAGCTGACTCACTTCATATGTGGGTGACTGATTCCAGGATGCTTCAAGGATTCCAAAATTCATGGGTGCCCAAGTTCCTTATGTAAGATAGCAAGAACTGTGCCCAGAAACAGCTCAGATAGCCCTGTGTCCTTTAAAACATGCCTGGACGGCTTACTGAAGTTAGCAGGGTAAATGCTATGTAATAGCCATCACAAGAAGAAAGGCCTGTATATGTTCAGCAAAGACATAGGGTAGGATTTTTGTGTGAGTTTTGTAATTTCTGTCTGAGGTTGTCCAAGGTACATAACCCAAGGACATGAAGGGTAAGTGACTTCATGGGGACACAGTCCATAGCCTCGGCTCCTTACCTGTAAAATAAGGCCAGTTCTGCTACCAAGGGCCATGGCCAGGGTCAAGGCAGATATTTATAAACGAGATACTTTCACATTTTAAAACCTGCCCTAAGGGATTAACGATGCCTCCAAGGGGCTGGTTGAAGGTCATCTGCGCTTTCAGAGCCCTTCTACAACCCCGGAATAGGTGCCATTTAAAATGAATGGAGTGTGAGTTCTTTCTATAGCTGTTACAGAAGGACAATTTAGTACGGTGATTATAAGAATGGATTCGGAAACTCGCCCCATGAATTTCAAACTTGACTACCACTTATGCTCTGAGGTTGTCTGCCGCTGCTGTTTCTGTGCTCAGCAGCAGCTGAGCTGAGCTGAGCTGAGCTGCAAACTCGACGGGCCTGCTTGCTCTCTGAGCCTGTTTCTTATCTGCATGTTTCTCATCTCCTCTCACCGGGGGAGCTCGCTACCAGGCTTCAGAGAGAAAACTGAATTAATTGACAACACCTGTTGAATACTCGGGCCAGGCATTGTTAAAAAGCCTTTGGCATATATGAGTTTTATACATAGATAGGTGTGTGTGTAGGTCACTGATTTAGCTAGATTATAGGCCAGAGAGCCTTCCAGTCTCCACCATTGTGCCTGCCTTTTACGTGGATGCTGGAGATGGAACTCTGGACCTTATGCTTGCAAGGCAAGCACTTCACTGACTGAGCCATCTCTCCAGTCACAAGGTTTGATCCTGGTAAGCACCCTGTGAGATGGGTGCTTATCTGGCTTCAAGAGGGCAGAAAGTTAAAGCACAGAGGTGTCCCTCCCAAGGTTACATATTCACTGAGGAGCTAAGGGGAGGATTTGAAGGTGAGCTGGTTGGCTCTCAGGCCCAGCTTCAGAACCACACCTTACGCTTTTCAACTAGAACTCTCCTACACAGCAAGTTCTCAGCAAAAGGCAGCACACTGCTGCCAGAGAGCAGCTGCTGATGGAGCTGTGAGCACCGTCAGCTGGGAGATGCTGGGGAGACCAGAAAAGGAGGAGGTACTCAGAAAGGGCTTGAGAAGGACTAAGACTGGTAGGTCTCAGGGGACGCAGAGAGTGAAGGCTACAGACCCCTCCCTTTTGACCTGCCCTAGTGTGGCGCTGCTGTTGAAGCTTTGAGGAGAGGGTGGCGCAGCCTTGTGCATCTGTCCTTTGCTCTCACTGCACAGGGACCCTCTTCTGAGGCATCCTGCCATGCAGGAATGTTCTGTGCTCACGTTTCGCTTCAGGAATTCTTCCTGCTAAGCCCAGAGCAAAATCCAACTGAGGTGTGTTTGTGGGCTTTTCTAGGAATGAACATTTTAAAAAGATATTCTCTTAAAGGAGAGAGAAAGAGAGAGAGAGAGAGAGCATGTTTTGTTACCCCCAGGTAAACCTGGACTCCTTGTTTGTCTGTCTCCTCTCCTCAATTGTTGGCCCTCAGCTGCTCTTTAGAAGGAAGCTTTGCTGTAAGCCAGAGGTGACCTTATCCTGGAACTAATGACTTTGAGCAGCAGGTGATTCTTCAGGGTACCTGCTCATCCTCCATAACTTCAATACCCAAGCCATGCCATGTCCCAAGACAGCCTTCATCATATGACATTTACAGTGCTAAAGACTTCTTGGATGACCCACTGCAGGCCCGAAGCAGAAGGCTTCCTCCCCACCACCTTCCTCCCATGACCCTACTCCCCACTCTAGAGCAACCAGGCTTTTCACTGACTGGGTTTCTCTCCCGAAAACATGATTGGACCTTTTCCAGTAAGTGCCGGCTGCCCAACCCAGTTTCCAACTCTTAAAAAGCACACTCCTAAAAGAATTCAATTAACCTCAGTTTGGCACGCACCTGTCAGGCTCTCCCAAGAGCACTTTCCCTCTGGCGAAGTGGGGGGCAGCACCCAGCTAGAGGCCTGAGGGAGAGCCTATGTTCTGCCTCCCCGGGGCTGGCTGGCTGGCCGGCCGGGCCGGCTGTTTGTGAGCAGCAGGGAGGCCAGCCCCGGGGAGTGGTCAGCAAAAGGGAAGGAGGTCATTGGACTGGCTGGGAGAAGAAAAGCCAGCCTGGCTGTCCCCTGTGGTAAAATTGCTGCCTCCTCCTCCTCTTCCTTCTCATACTCTTCCTTCTCTTTTCCCTTTCTCCTTCTCCTTTTCCTCCTTTTTTTCCTTCTTCCTCCTCTTCCTCTTCCTTTTCCTCTTCTTCCTCTTTTCTTCTCCTCCCCCACTTCTTCTTCTCCTCATCCCCACCTCCCAGATCCTTTCCCACAGCTAGTTCCCCTTGCCAAGTATGCCTTTCCTGACTTCTCTGGCTTGTGCAGACGCAGTCAGTGACCTTCAGAACGCAGCAGGGGAGCAGAAATGAGAAAGAAAAATAGCTTGTTGGGAGAGGTACAATGGTCTCTTTATTGAAGGGCCTTTTCTTTTCCCCTAACTCCCTCAGCTATTGACTTCTTTTGCTGGATGTTGGTATGTGTTTAAGGCAGACATGGGCACTTGGCAGCTCAGTATGACACTCTCTCCAGCTCTGTACCACCACACAAGGTATAGGGCAGGCATGGGAGTGTGCCTTCACAGCCTTGTCATTTCCTGCCTGTGTGCTCCTGATGCCCCTCCCTCCACCTCCCTTTCAGCACCTGTGAAATAGGCATGGGATGTGAATAGCCCCATCCCTTCAAGAATCAAATGAGTAAACCCACTGTCTGGCTCTCATAATGACATTAGTGAGTCAAATAATGAACATAACCATGACGAAGACATTATAACTGTTGTCAATGTCAACAAAGGGGGGGATTGTTTGTTTCTCTTTGAAACAGGGTCTCATGTATCCTAGGCTAGTGTCAATTCACCATGTAACTGAGGATGACCTTGAATTCTTAATCCTCCTGTCTTCAGCTCTCAAATGCTAGGATTACAGGCATGTACCATCATGTTTATGTGTTGCTGGGGACGAAACATGGCCCTTCATGCATGTTAGGCAAGCACTCTGGCAACTGAGCCCCAGCCTAGGGACACCCTTTGAAAATAGTACATAGACTGGAGATGCCGTGAGCCCTTAATTCCGGGTCCTTATTTCTTTTGTTGTCATGAAATTTTCTCCATCACAGAAACTCTTTCCAGAAATAAAAGGTTCTCTTTCCCAGAAAGCCCCCCCCCGTGGTAAGTCAGCTTGCTGTTGCCTGTCTGCACCCCCCACAAATTCCTTCAACAGCCGCTTTTTGGTTACCTGCCCCCTACCAGGCACCAGGGTGCACATCAGAGACTCAAAGCTGCTAAGTCCCTGTTCTTTGTGGTTCACACTCTTAGGAAGAAGACAGAGGTGTCAACGGTACAGCTAGAGACAGAGGAGCAGGATGGCCCTGACACCCACCACCAGTCACCACACCAGGCAGGTGGGAAGTTTGTTCAGTAACCTGTCCTCTGGATGCTACCTGGAGCTCAATGACCGTAGGTGTAGGCTCCTAGAAGCTCTGTGCTTAAACACTGATGGTTGGGCTGGAGAGATAGCCTCAGTGGCTAAGAACACTGGCTGCTCTTCCAAAGGAATGAATTCAATTCCCAGCACCTACATGTCAGCTCAACTCCATTTCTCAGGGATCTGGAGTCCCCACACAGACATGAATGTAATAAAACACCAACATATAAATAAATAAATAAATAGATAGATAGATAAATAAATAAATAAATAAATGCTGATGGTCTGTCAAACAACTAGGTTTAGACTTCACTGCTTTGCTGAAAAGCTCACAGGAAAAGGCTTTGTCCAGGAGCAGCTATTCTAAAAGATGGGAAGCAGACTTGTCGGGACTTGAAGACTCTGGCCCACCTGTCCTGCATCCACTTTTGAGGCCACACAGCTCTGAGAAAACCAGTTTGTGTCTGCAGTTAGGAATAGTTTACAGAGGGCCAGGTACCACCCACAACTTACCCTACCAGATCCTGGCTTCTCTTCATGACTTTTTCATTCATTTTGTTAAGTCCTTATTTTCATTCAGTCCTTGAAGTAATTCTTATATAAGCTCCTAGCTACTGTTTCAAGTGGCACTATCTTCCATGAGCCTAATTTTATTTCTTTCAAGACTCAAGAAAGCATTCCTTCATTCTGGGATTCTAGGATTAGTGTAAAGCCCCAATTCTCTTGCATTTTTATGACACTAGGAGAAAATTGTCTTTTCTTACTCCAGCCTTGTAGCAGTCACCCCTGCCCCGTCCCTTGGGTATCATGATTTCATTTCTTTCTTAGAAGTCAACTTTTCTCCTAGATGCAAAGCTAAGCTTCAGCATCATTTGTCATGGTCCAGCATGATGCATATTGGGATAATGAGACTCCAAGATACTTGGTTGGGACTTTCTTTTGTTTTCCAGAGACAGGGCTTCCTCTGTGTAACAACCTTTGTACACCAAGCTGGCCTTGAGAACACAGAGATCTGCCTGCCTCTGCCTCTGGAATGCTGGGATTAAAGGTGTTTACCACAATTCCTGCTTTGGTTGGGACTCTTAAAGATATATATATCCTCTGTTTCCCAACTTGAAACTAGAGAGAAACCATGGCCACTGTACTCTACCAAGGGAGAGCCTTTCTGAGGACAGGGCCCATGATGAAAGAAATACAATGAAAGTCCAGCGAAGCAGGAACTTGGCGGAGTCCCTACCTCTAGCCATACCTGAAGCACTGCTTTCATCATATGAACTTTCTCACACTACGAGAAAGTGTCATGGGTGTCATGCTTATTGCTTGCAACTCTTTTGGAGGGTGGACATAACCCATCTATTCTGTAGAGATAAGGACATATGTTTCAGAAAAGGAGAAACTAGAAGGTCAAGATGCAAACCTAGAAAATGGCCAGGTCAGGATTTAAGTTTATTAACTAATCCTGGTGACACACACCTGTGATCCTCACTAGTCAGGAGACTGAGGCAGATAGGTTGCAGTCCTAGGCCAACCTGAGTTACCTGGCTCTCGAGCAATTTTCTTAAGGATTGGGAAGTAGAACAGAGGGAATGTGCTTGCTTAGCATGCACAAAGCTCTGAGTTCAAGTCCCAAAGGAACCTAATCCAAGATCTGGACTGTTTCCTAAGCCTGGTCTTTTAATCAGTACATTTTATTACCACAAACCTTGGTGCAGAGACGAAACAGAAGATACAAAGCATTGACAAGTGCTGTAAATCTTGTAGTTATCTCTAATACCAGGGAGCTTCTCAGAGGTGACATGGAACCATTTTTTGACCCCTCAGGCTGTTAATGTGTAATAGGTCGGGTATGAGTTGTTACGCACAGAATCTGGAGCTACCTACTCAGGACCTTTGCACTTTTATGCAGGATGACAGCTGTAAATGGCATCCTCTTCATTCTGCTCAGGAAAACTCTAGGAGCTAAATTTCATCAACAAGTGGCATTTCAGTAATCTTGGAAGCCAGGGAGCTCAGATTAAGTCCCTTCAAGGCCAGGCTGTATGCAGTGACAATTTACCCAAGCAAGGTGCTAAAGATACTTCAGAGAAAACTTCAAGGGATTCTTTCCTGCCTGGAGTTTGACCAGAACCCGGCTGTGGAGTAGAAGTAGAATGAGACTCTGCTTATCAGTCCTGGACCTGTCATTTGGTCTAACCACATTTGGATAATCTTGGAGAAAAGAGGCTCCTTGATGACAAACAAGGTGGACCAGGAAGGAACGAGCACCATTCTTCTGAATAGACGTAAAATAGTAACAACATTTATTAGCCACTCTTCATTTGCCAGGCACTGGCTAAGCAATACTTGGCATTCACCTTAATGGCGCTGCCTCTGTGTGAAGAATGGCTTGCACCCTGGTGCCTGCTATATTCTGGCAAGACTTGCTTTCCCTAATCCCAATTCAGCTGGCTGTGGTCAAGTGGTCCTTGATGCTGTGTGCACGTCACCTCCAACTGTGGCCATGTGAGGAGAAACCATCACGCATAGGAGAACAGAAGTGAAAGGCCTTTTCTGACCAGAAAAACAATGGATGTGTATTATTCCTCCAGCGAACACCAGGCCAAACTCCCTTTAGGTTAAGTTCCTCATGGTTTCTGAGCTTCTCTCTGTTCTGTGTCCTCTGCAGGCCTGTGAGAGAGCCCTATCTCTTTGTGCTCTGCCAATTCTAGACAATAGAGCAGCATGGGGTGAGAAAGTACGAGCATATCTAATTTTGTGTTTAGTTCCTCAAAGTAATTGCATGGAACACTCCAGAGAAGAGAAACAGTCTTCAGCGTATATGTTTTATATTTACTTAATAAACATTTGTTGGACCCCACAGCTGTATTTATCCACCTTCTTGCTGCTGTCTTCTCTCAAGCTGGAAAGGTGAGACTTGCTTTCCCAGCACCCCTTTCAACTGGCCATGGTCAGGTGACCCATTCTCAGCTTGGAAAACGAAGCAAGATCCAACTCTTTGCTGCTTTTTAAAGAGAAATATCAAATATAAAGACTTAAGATGGTTGGCGATAAAGGAATGAAAGAAAGTTTTACTGTGTATTAACAGAATAATATTGTCAAAATAAGTGCCAAGGCAATGCTATAGTCACAACCAAATATTGCACAATGGTACAAAGGCACAGTCACTGGAAAGGCAACATAACATTCAAAATTTTAAGAATGCAATGATAAAGCTTAGAATATATTCAATGAAAACCTATAAAACTAAAGACAGAACAAAAATCCAAAATAAGAATTGAACATTAGAAAAAAAAAATCACACTTTTAGTAGTTTATAAGCAAAAACAACACAAATATAGATGAACCGAATAAGCTATCAGTCCACACAATTCAGTTGGTATATTCCCAACAATTGCAAGATACATTGTTCTTAGGGTTATAGTGCGTTTATCACACCAGATCTTATGGTAGGCTAAAACATTAGGTTCACTAAAGCCTAAAATCGTCTGATTGCAAAGAGGCTAAGATAGAAATCAATGAGCTGTTTAGAAAATATCCAAATACATGGCAA